ATCACTGTGTTCGTATATATGACGTTTTCAAATATTGTTTTTTTACTGTCTCTCTCTCTCTCTCTCTCTCTCTCTCTCTCTCTCTCTGTCTCTCTTCAATTCATTTTTCATTTAATTTCAATCGTTATACGTGAGTTATATCCACTCGAATACCATCGGTATGTCCAGTCGGATCATTTCCCTTTGCGTAATGAGACTCTGAACTAGGCTAATTACCAGCCATTAACACGACAACGACTAATCTCTAGACATATCGGCGTATGAGGAGAATCTACAGACGCGTAGGGAGAAATTACGCGATCTCGTATCGAGCGAAGAGGCGAATCTAATGAGAGAGATCATGGAGATGGCGCAGCGGAATGAATGTGCCCGATTCGAAGAGATACTTGCGAGAACAGAAGAGTTGAAGAAACGGCACGATGAGGAGCACAAAACAATGGTAGCTGTCAAACAGATGCAACAATATCTAGCCTCATGTCAAGATATTAAGCAAGAATTCTCCAGAAGATGCACGATTGATGCGAAGCAATGTAACGTGGCACAGATGGCGAGCAACGAAGCAAAGAAATTGGCAGAGAGGGAGCTGGACGCTGTCTGGCACGAGATAATGCTGAAGGAGTCTGAAGTGAAGAGACATAAAGAGACAGAGGAGTCGGAGAGACGAACCTTAGCCCAGCAAGAAACGGTGTCCACTTTAGCCAAGCAAGTGGCAGACAAGTTGGCGCTGGAAGACGAGAAGAAGCGAGTTAAGAGAGACGAACAGGAGCATCTGAAGCGGCTGCGCGAGGATATGCGTCGAGCGGAGTTAAAGAATCTCGAGATGGAAAGGCAAAAGCGGGAAAAGTTGAAGAAGGAACTCGAGGAGCAAATCCTGACGACAAAGAAGTTCATCGCCAAATGTGCTCACGAGGAAACCATGGTGGATCGCATATTCAAAACTTTGGCCGAAGAAGAATTGGCCAAGGAGAAGGTCCATGCGAAACGGGATATCCTTCGTACAGAATTAGATTCCTATCTTAAGTATCTAAAAGACTTGAAGCAGGAAAAGGTCAAACGGAATCTTGAAATGGAAGCTATTATTCGGCAGTCGCACAAGGACATCGAAGCAAAACGCGAACTCGAATTGAAGAAATTCAAGGAAATTCGCCGGCGTGCCATGCAGGAAGTTCTTCGCGGTCGGGAGGAACAACTGATGATGCGACAGGAAGCAGAGGAGCGGGAACGACAATTGAAAATAGAGGAGCGAGAGATGCTCGAAAGACAGATCGAGATGAACGCCAACTTGACTGCGATGGAACAGAAGGAGAATAGAGAAAAAGCACTTCGATACGGATTGCAACTCAAGGAGCAGCAAAGATGCGTCGAAACGACGAGACGCCACGAATTAGAGAAGGAGCGACAATATTACCAGGCCGAGATGAAGAGGCAGGCGGAAGAAAATCAGAGGCTCACGGACGAGCTGTTGAATGTTTCCGAGAGAATGAGTATTACGCCGCATCCGTTTAAAGCTCTACTGAAGGAATCTTTGAAGGAGAAGGAAGGACGTCCTCCAACTTTAACTTCCGCGTAACTGACATGTTAGGAGATGCTGATAAGTTACCAGGTGTATCTGTCTTCACCCTTGTAAGTTACTTCTCCAGTTTGTCGGTACGCGGGAATTATGTAAAGAGCCAGGTAGATCGCTGAATAATCAATCAATCAGTGAGCGATCGTTAAATTTGTGGCGATAGAGACGTGAGATAAGTTGATAGAAATTTAGGACATCAAGGTGCAAGATCTTGACTTTTATAAAAAATATAAAAATTATGAACGTGTACAATAATTAATGCTCATATTAAAATAATGTAACTCGTAAAATTATAGATATAATATGATATTTTCATCCTTTTTTCTTTGTGTTTCTTTCTGTAACCGTACAAAGTAATATAATTATCTCTTTTTTTTAGTATATTTTTATAATTTTATTTTTCTAAGTTAAACCGTTTAAGGCTTTGATTGCTATATAGTTTGTGTTATCACATATATGGTTTTATAAT